ACCTGGAGTTAGGAAGACCTGATTCATTTGAGTTCAAATCCAGCTTTAGACATTTACTAACAATGTGATCCTGGGCAAGCCACAACCTTTGCTGCCTCAGTTTCCTCAACTATAAAATGAGAATAATAATTACCCAAACCTCACCAGGTTGTTGGGGGAAATCTAATGAGATAATATTTATAATGTGTTTTGCATGCCTTAAAGTGCTATATAAATGCTGGCTATTATTATTATTATGAAATATTTCTTGTATCATGATACCTTGTCTCAAGTATAGAGAGGCTTATCTGGAGATACACAAACAAATAAATTAGGCCAAAGAATCAAATCTCTATCTGAATGTTAGGAATTTTCCTAACTGGGGGCTCTGGTTATTGTGAATGTACTACTATTAACTTTTCATCTTATATAAATACCATAAACTAGTAGAGAAGATAGTCACATGGAGCTAAAGACCACCATATCGCTCTTAAACTAAAAGAGGAGCTAATTATTTTAACAGGAAGTGACTGATCAAATCAAAAGAGAGAAGGGGGAATAGGGATAAAGCAGTGGCAAAGAAAAGATCACACCCTAAAAACCCTACATGGGTAGGAGACAGGCAAGGCCTGGGAAGGATTCAGGGTAAGGAGAATAAATGCTTATAAAAATTTTAAAAAATATATGAAAGAATATTTTTAAAGAAAAAGAAAAAAAGAGGAAGAGAAAAAACCCAGCAAAATAGATCAATATATTGAAAAGGTCTGAAAATATGTGCAATGTTCTTCACCCTTGGGCCTCCACAGATGATTATCATCATCACATTTGAGGATAACTAACACACTCGATGACAGAGTCAGGATCTAAAAGGATACTGACAGTCTCTAGAGCATGAGGCTAGTCCTAATTAAGATGAAATTCAACAGCAAAATAAAATGTCAGATCTTATACTTGAGTACAAAAAAAACAGCAACCTGATGAGGTCTAGATTCTTGGGGTTTGGGACCTTGAAACAGCACAGCAGGTCCTGCCCGAAAGAATTGGACCCAAATCTTCTTTTAGTCAGAGACAGAGTTTACTATGGATAAATCATACAGGCCAGATTCTTAAGGAATCTGAACATTAGGGATGCCCCTAAGGACAAGCCGGCATGAGGAAGTCTCAGCATTTAAATGGGGCTGGGAGAAGGATCCTGAAGCTAGGGTGAATTTAGGAAGAATTCCTATCAGAATGTCTGGGAGGCTGAATACAAAATGGGAATAGATAATGAAGGGAACTGGAAGGAAGAGTTTGAATGGGGTCTGGATAAGATCAAAGGTGGGAAATATCTTCATTAGATTTTCAAAGGGAGATAGGGAGAATAGAGAAGGAAAAGCCACAGAGTGGAATATAGCTTCAGGTAACTGTCTGAGACCAGAGTGAGTTTAAGGGTTTTCTGGGGTCCATGGACAAAAGGGACCCAAATTCTTTTTGGGGCAAAGGTCTCGCCTTGGGCCCATACCCCATCAAACTGTGAAAGTATAAGACAGGAGGAAATGGTGTGGAAAGACAGCAGTTCTGAAAAGGATCTAGGGATCTGAGTGGACTGCAAGCTCAATATGAGTCAGCAATGGGCTGTGATAGCCAAAAAACCTAATGTGATCTTGAGTTGCATTATTGGGTAATAGTTCACCAAAATCTACCTTTGACAGACCTCATCTGGAGTATTATGTTCTGTTTTGGGCAACATGATTTGAATGATATGGACAAGCTAGAGAGCTTTCAGAGGGCAACCTGGATGCTGAAGGATGCTGAAGGACTCTGAGTCCATGTCATGAGGATTATTTGAAGAAACTAGATATGTTTCGCCTGAAGGGGTGTGTGTGTGTGGGGGGGTAGGGATTATCTGATGGAGGATGTGAAAGCTACCTTCAACTATCTGAAGGGATGTTCCATGGAGGAGGGATTAGACTTGTTCTACTTTGTTCTAAAAGGCAGAACCAGGGGTAATGGGGTTGCAAAGAAGTGAATTTTGATATCTGGAAAAACTTAACCACAGGAATCTAACACTTTAAGCAACAGAGCCGATAGGGGTAGAATCTAACAGAACGCTATGTCTAACATGGACCCAAACCCAATCAGACTATCTCCTAAATCAGATCCTTTTGGAAACACTGAAAGCTTGCAAGCCTCTAGCCTATCCCTGAGATCCTAGAATAACACAACATACAACACCCAAGAAAGGAGCAGCGGGACCAACCCTGACCTTCCCTCCAGAAATACACACTTCTGTGTAGCAAAGAATAGCCTGAAGTCAAGAAGTAGACTAGAATAACAAAAGTAAACAAAAGAATCTCACCATAAAGAGCTAATATGGTGGCAGGGACCCTCACAAATGCAGATGAGGGGAATGACTCCAAAACATCTGAAAGCCAAGCCTCAGAGAAGAATTCAGCTTGGGAAAAAACTCATCTAGAATTCCTGGAAGAGATAAATCAAGATTTCTTAAAAAGAGAGAAAAAAATGTTTTCATTGCAAGCAGACTTCAGAAAAACCTGGAAAGAGTTGTATGGACTAATGCTGAGTGAAGTGAGCAGAACCAGGAGAACATTGCACACAGCAACAGCCATGTTGTGTGATGACTAACTTTGATAGACTTAGCTCTTCTCAGCAATGCAAGGATCTAAGACATCTCTAAAAGTCTCATGATAGAAAATGCTATCCACATCCAGAGAAAGAACTATGGAGTTTGAATGCAGATCGAAGCATATTATTTGCTCTTTTTTTTTGTCTGTTTTGTTTAGTTTCTTCTTTCCTGTGGTTCCTCCTGCTGGTTCCAATTCTTCTTTACAAAAAGATTAATGTGCAAATATGTTTAATAGGAATGTATGAGAGCCTATATTAGATCACAAACTGTATTGGGGAGGGAGGTAGAGAGGAAGGGAGAGAACATTTAAAATCAAAAGCTTATGGAAGTGATTGTTGAAAACTAAAAATAAATTAATTAAATTTAAAAATGTTTTCATTAATGAAATGAGGATGCTTGAGGGGGAAAATGGAAAAGAGAAATATGGAAGAAAACACTGAAAAGGGAATTAACAGCTTGGCACAGGAAATACAAAACCTTGCCCAAGTAACAAGCTCCCCCCAAATTAGAATTGATCATTTAGAAGTCAATGACAAGAAATCACAAAACAACGTCAAAAGCATGGAGGGGAAGAGAGAGAAGAGAAAGGCAGAGAAGAAAATGAAAGGTACTTCGTAGTAACAACTGACCTGGAAAACAGATTGAGGAGAAAATAAGCCTCAGATTATCTTAATGCTATGGACAAAAAAAGTACCTAGACATCATATTTCAAGAAATCTTAACTGCTCAGACTTCTTAGAACCAGAGAGCAAAATCAAAATAGAATTCACTGGTCTTTTCCTAAAAGAAATCCCAAAATGAAAACTTATAGGAACATCATAGCCAAAATTTAGAGCTTCCAGATCAAAGTAAAAATACTACAAACAGCCAGAAAGAATTAAAGTAACCAGGAGCTACAGTCAGGATCACACATGATCTTAGCAGCCACCACTATGAAGAAGTGGAGAATTTGGAATACGATATTCCAGCAAAATGAAATAGGAGGACTTCTAAGCATTCCTGATGATAAGACCAGGGCTGCAGAGAAAGGCTGATGTTCAAACACAACAGAGAAGAGAAACATAAAAAGGTAAACAGGAATGAATGATGATAAAGGATTAAACAAGGATAAATTGCTTACATTTAAATAAAGATGATAAATTTGTCTGCTCTGAACCCTATCGTCATCATTCAAAGAGGGAGTCCAATTAGAAAAGGTCTGGGAGTGGTTCTATTATGTCTTAATAATCTTAAGAAAATAATGGAAAATGGAAGAGGAAAACACTAGAGAAGATGACAAAAAGGGTTAGCGAAAATTATCTCACATAATTAAGGTGCTGTGATGAATGACAAGTTTAAGAGACATGATTTCTGGGTAATCATTTAATCAATTATGATTAGCAAATAATTAATAAAAGAATGGTCATTTGGCTTTCTCTCCTGAACCAAAGACAAATCATAGAAGCCTCTAAATGCTTTTGGAAAAGTGGGTGTTCCCAACAGGCAGCAATCAACTCTGACTGGTTAACAATTAATGAGAGAATGAATACTATAATAAGAGGTGGGCCTATTCTAATGAGGGTCCTGGGTGGGATCATGACTTTAATTATATATTGTTCTTACTTCCAGATCACTTCCTGCTTTGGGCAATCTAGACAAAGAAATCTAACCCCTCACCCAAGCTTATCTGAATAAAACATAAAGGGACAGTATTCACCTAGATTGGATTCGCTTTGTAAGGTTTTCTAGTTGAGTGGAGTAACAATTCACACCTGGATAAAATGGTCTAGGTCTAGGTAAATTTTTGGGCAAGGTCAGTAACATTCTTCAAAGACTGGCTGTATAGCCTATAGGGGTTTACTTCTGAATCAGGAAGAAGAAATTTTAAAAAATCTTAATCTCAATTAATAGTTGGTTATTAATATGAAAGAGATAATAATTTCTCACAGTGCATAAGTAGTTATCTATACAAATAGGGATAGGGAACAGCTGACATTTGAACCCAGCTCTCATCTGAACTAATCAAAAGAATACACACACACACACACACACACAGAGTTGGTTTATTCAACAGGGAAATAGGAGGAAAGCAGGAGAAGGGAGCAAGGGGAATTGTTGTTTGTCCTTCATTTTCAAAGAGGATCAATGACATCTTGACTTGCAAGTGAACTGGATTTCAGTGAGGCAGAGCTGTGCAAAGTCATCAGCCTTACTCTCTCCTCCAGAGTTAACGGAATCCAGTGGCATGACATATGTCAAGAGCACTGGTGATGGCCCAATGGGAATTAGAGGGAAGGTAGATTAACAGGGACAGTGGAGAGAGCTTGGTCTGGAGTCAAGAAGACCTGAGTTCAAATCCAGACTCCGACACATGTTAATTGTGTGATCCTGGGCAAGTCACTTAACTTCTACTTACCTTAATCTACTGGAAAAGGAAGTGACAAACCATTCCAGCATCTTCTTTACCAAGTATCCAGTATCTTTGTCTCTATGGACAGTATTGGCTTGCTATGGTTCATGGGGCCATGAAGAGTTGGACACAGCTGAACAAAAAAGATCCACACGGATGAGTCCTGTGCAAAACAAACTTTAAGGATGTACAGTATCCCCACACCAAGACCACCCCTCTCTTTTTACTATTAGGAGACACCTTATTTTCCAGAGCTAAGGCCCAGGAAATAAGCCGTGTCCTTAGCGTGGCACAACAATCCTTTTCGCTCACCCTCTACACTCAGCCACAGCAAAATCCCAGAATTGTTTCACACCAGTCTGGGGTGGTCCCTGAGCTCGGATGAACACCTGCAGGAACCACGTTCTGGTCAAGACAGCTACAGCCCACGTGCAGCAGGCCTGGCCTCACTAAAGCAGGGTCCCCCTAAAGGAAGACCTGCCACATGTGTCTAAGCTTCCCTCTGCCAATGCAATAAAGAAAGCTTTTTGCTTATGACTGCTGTTAGCCCTCACTTCTATTTTATATTATTTCTTAGACTTAACTGTGGTTGTGATAACCTGTGTGAGCTCTTTGGTATTTCCTGAGTAAACAGCAGGTGCATAATCTCTGTGGCTCTGGCCATTTGCTTTCAGACTTGACAGTTGGGAATCTGAGGGTGTGCCCATAAATCAGGGAATGGCTGAACATGTTATGGTATAGAAATGGGATGGAATATTGGAGTAGGAATAGCAAAGTCTTCTTTTTCCCCCAGAGCAGTGAGGCCCCATCCTTTCCCCTATATTCTTAGCCCTATATGCTAAGTAGCCCACCCTATCACCAGCCACCTTGTGGTCAAGGGATTTTCCCAAGACTTTTGCAAGGGCAATAAGACTCCTCAATACCTTATAGTAACTTATGTGATGACGTCAAAGCCTTCATTTACATATTATGAATATGGTAATGAAGGGTCTAGGCTATTTCCAGCCACCCGAAGACTCAGTACAGCGCAGGCGCAAGCCGTCTTTTTTTTTTTTTTTTTTTTTTTGGCTCGCATAGCACAAAGATTATGCCATGGCAAATTTCCATAAGTTCCTCCCCCTTCAGCTCTGATATAAGCAAGTCCCCATACCCTTCCACCCAACCAACCAGGATCCTGAGCTGCTTGGTTTCCTTTGCTTTTACTACAGTGAAGCCCTGCTTGGAAGGACTCTGGCCTTGGTATTCTTACCGACTCCGAACCAGCTCTCCCACTGCAATATTATTGTGCTGAATTCTTATCAGCCCAAAGACCAAACATGCTCCCCACTTCCTGACAAGTGAACGATTCAGTGCAGAATGAAGCAATTTTTTTTTTAAATTTTTGGACAAGGCCAATGAGTAAAGTTGTTTTTGACTAAAGTACATGTTTGTAGTGTGTGTGTGTGTGTGTGTGTGTGTGTGTGTGTGTGTGTGTGTGTGTGTGTGTGTGTGTGTGTGTGTTCTCAAGGGGATGGGAGGGTGAGAAAGCAGATCGTGGCTGATTTAAATAAAAATAAATATTAAATATCCAAATGTCGGCTGCCAGCAGTAGCTGACACCCACCTCCCAGACCGGAGGACGGCTCTCAGCAGTCAGACCTACCGTCGTAAGATGGCGCTCGCCTCCAGCGCTCTCTCCTCCTTCCCCGCTTCCCCTCCCCCGTTGCCTTCTCCCTCCTGCCCCCCCCCAAAAAAAGCTCAAGACAAGCCAACACGAACCAGGAAACCATGTGTGGACTACATCTCAAACTACTTCCTTGACGTCAATCTTAACTTTCTTTTTCCGTCCACTACGGCCTTAATTGAATCGCGCATGCGTGATTCTCGGAGGAGGCGGGCTCTTTTCACAGTTCGTTCTTCTAGCGCCAAGTCTTTGAGCGACAGCTCCCAGAACCAACAGTCCGAGGGAGATGGCGGAAATTGCGACTGTGTGGTAGGCGGGATTTCTTCTGGAAGGGACAACCGTGAAGTCAGCATCGGTGCCGGTCGAGCGGGATTTTCTCGCCGCCCGGACTCGAGGAACGTGAGTCCCTCGGGAGATGGCGTACGCCGATCGGTCTCCGGCGGACAAGGACAGGTAGACGCCTTCGGTGGGAAGAGGGAGCGGGGGCCGGGACCGGTGTGAGTGGCTCGGCCACCCTCGCTGGGTGAGGTTGCCCGGACAGCGCGGGAGCCTCTGGGCTCTGGCTTTTGGGAAGCCGCGGGGAGAAGGGGAGGAAGAGAGGACGGAGGGCACGGAGGAGGTTTTCGCTCGTCCAGCGAGGGGAGCTTGCTCTGAACTCTTTCTGGGGCAGTAGCTGTGAAATGAGTTGCAGGCCGAGTCCTGAACCCTCTCCCAGCTTCTTCCAGGAATCCCCCCGGAAATCCAAGGAGAAAACCCGGGCCCCTTCCTCCGCTTGGCTTGTCCGGCTTGGTCACTTTAATGTTGCGGTGGAAGGAGCCTTGGATCAGAAGGCTTTGGGTTCTAATCCCGCCTCTGCGACTGCGAGGATCTGGGCAAACAGCTTAACATCTGTTTCGCAGTCTCCTTATTTCTAAAAAGATTGGGTTGGGCTAAAATAATCTCAAAGATTTCTTTCAGCTCTAAATCCTGTATTATAAAACCTACTTCTTTGCATCTCTTAGGTTTATTTGCATTTATCCTGCATATTTAAATAACAAGAAGACCATTGCTGAGGGAAGACGGATCCCAATAGACAAAGTAAGGACAAATAAATAGAGGTTGAGGGTGGGATGATCATTTTGTGAAAGGTGTTCAGACGACTTTTTCTATGCTTTCCCAAGCTTCCAAATTCGAAAACAGCAGCTGAAAGGGTTGGTGTTTGAGAAATTGTAAAGTCTAACAGAGCTATATATGTGATATTAAAAGTTTGAAATTGTTAAAAGGGATTATAATACAGTCTTGTAATGAAGATGACAAAATTAAAATAATTAAAATTGCTAACCTTTATTTAGTATTTTTTGTATTCCCCGTACTCTTTAAAACACTACTGAGGTAGGTGCTGTCATTACCCTTATTTTACAGGGGAGGAAGCTGAGGCAGAGGTTAAGTGACTTGCCCAGGGTCACACAGCTAGTATGAGTCTGAGACTAGATTTGAATTTAGGTCTTTCTGACTCCAGACCTGATGTCTATCTAATGGCTACCTAGCTGCCTCATAGACTTATCCAGGTTTATCCAGGAACTAGTGTTTCTCCTTTTGAGAAAATGAATTTGAGAATAATACATGTTTTGGAATACTATAGCTTTCAAACCTTAAAAGAAAGTTATTTTACATTGCTAAATAAATTGTAAATTTAGGGGTATGCACATTTCTGAATGGTAGACTACAGAGAAATAAAGGGGATGCTATTATCCTTTAAGATGATTTAGGAGAATTGAACTTGCAAATTGGTAGTTAAGCCTGCAATACCTGTTTCGAAAACTTCCCAGTATTGTTAGGTAATTTCAGCTAAAAACTGTATGCAGATAGGCAGTATGATTGAGAATATCCAGAGTCAGGTAAGCTTAAATTTTTCCTGTAACTCAGCTAAGATTCTTACATAACCAGGGTTCTTTTTAATTGCCATTGAATAATTCATAACTGGAATGTAAGTTTTTTGAGGGCAAATAATAAAGTAGGTAAGCCGATAATTGGATTTTTTTAAAAAAATTTTTTTCCATATGCTTTTGAGTTGAAAATTTTTTCTTCCTTTTTCTCCCCCCTCACCCTCCCCAAGACGGCGCACAATCTGACATAGGCTTTACATTTACATACCCATTAAACATATTTTCACATTAGTGAAGTTGTAAGTAAAAATTAAAACCAATGGGAGGAACTATCAGAAAGATGAAACAAAACTCAACTGAAGGTAAAAATAAGTGAGAGCAATTCAACTTCCATAGTTCTTTCTTTGGATGTGGACAGCATTTTCCATCCCGAGGCCTCTGGAGATGTCTTAAATCCTCGTAATGCTGAGAAGGGTTCAGTTTAACATTCTTAGTCACATAATTGGATTTTTTTTAAAAAAAAGAAAACCAAATTGCTAGCATCAAAATTGAAAAAAGGTGAATTCATAACCAATAAATAAATAAAATAAGAAGAAACAAGAAATAAAAGCTCTTATTAGGTGTATCTCTCAATTATGTGCCAATAAAATGGATTAATGTTTACAAAATTATAAATTGCCCAGAATACCAGAATAGGAAATAATACTTTAATAAACTTATTTTAGAAAAAGAAATGGAACAAGGCATAAATGAACACCCTAAGGAAAAATCCAGATCGATCTGTAGATTAATTCTACCAAACGTTTAAAGACCAATTCTGTTACTTTTTACAAGGTTTGAAAAATAGGTAAAGAAGTGATCCTACTAAATTCCTTCTTTGATATGAATTTAGTCTTGATATCTAAACTGGGGAGGACAGGAAACTTAATAGGGCAATTTCCCTAATGAATCGGTCATTCAAAAATTTAAATAAAATATTAGACTACAGCACTATATTATGACCAGGCTGGATGTAACCAGCAATGCAGAGCTGGTTCAATATTAATATAACTAAAAACAAAACTGATCATATTAATAACAAAACTAACAAAAATCATATGCTTATGTCAATAGATTCAGAAAAGGCTTTTGACAAAATCAAATACCCATTCCTATTAATAACACTAAAAAATCTAGGTTTATTCCTAGAGCTTTCTTCATAATGGTAAGTAGTATCTTATCTAAAACCAAGAGTAGAATTATCTCAAATGGAGGTAAGCTAAAGCTTTTCTAGTAAGATCATAGGTAAAGGAAAAATTATCCCCATTATCCCCATTGCTATTCAGTACTTTAGTCAAGAAAAAGATATTTATGGCAACAGGCAGAGAGGAAACAAAACCATAACTTTTTGCAGATGGTATGGTTTACTTAGAGAACCTAATAATAATAATAGCTAACATTTATCTAGCACTTCCTGATGTGCCAGGCACCGTGTTAAGCACTTTATAATTATCTTATTTGATTCTCAGAACCTTGTAAAGTAGGTGCTTTAATTTCCATTTGACAGAAAAGGAAACTGAGGCCTCAGGGCCTGGGGTCAATAGCTATTAAGTATATGAAGCCTGATTTGCATTTTAAGTCTTCCTGACTCCGGCGGGGACTGTATCTACTCTACCCCAGAGTCAATTGAAAAACTAATTGAAACAATTCATAGCAGGCTTTCACAACCTACTGTAAGCAGCTTGTGGGCATACCAAAGGATTTTGGACAGCCCTCCAAAAATGTAGAGGATGTTTTCCTCTGCATTTTTCGTGGGCCCTTCCAAATCCTGCAGGTCAAAGGTTGTGCAGGCCTGATTTACAGCTTCAGCACAGTTGCAAGACATAAAGTAAGCCAATACAAATCATCAGCATTTCTATATGTTAACCAACAAAATCCCATCAGGAAGATAGAGAAAGTGAAATTCTATTTAAAATAACTATGGACAATATAAAATACTTGGGAGTCTACCTACCATGACACACACTGGAACTATATGAACACAGTTACAAAATATTTTTCACACAAATAAAGGTAGATCTAAATAATTGGAGAAATTAGTTGCTCATGGGTAGGCCGAGCCAATATTTTAAAAATGACAATACTACCTACTTACTTAATGCCATACCAATCAGATTACCAAAAAATTACTTTATAGAGCTAGAAAAAAAATAATTCATTTGGAGGAACAAAAGGTCAAGAATATCAAGGGAATCAATGGGGAAAAATGGGAAGGAAGGAGCCCTGCAGTACTAGATCTCACCCTACACTCCAAAACTGTAATTGTTGAAACAGTTTGTTATTGTGTAAGAAATAGAGTGGTTGATCAATGGAGTAAGTATGCAATATACAGAAGCAAATAAGTACTGTGGCCTTGTGTTTGATAAACCCAAAGAGCCCATCTATTGCGGCAAAAACTTAATATTAAACAAAAACTGTCAGGAAAACTAGAAACTAGGTATATAGATCCTTATACCAAGACAAGCCCCAAATGGATATGTTATTTAGATATAAAGAGTCTAAAATTATGAGCAAATTAGTGATGCATGGAAGAAATTACCTGTCAGATCTGTGGTTAGAGGAAGAGTTCATGACCAAACAAGAGATAGAGAGGTTCACAGGAAGTAAAATGGATAATTTTGATTACAGAAAATTAAAAAACATTTGCACAGGCATAACTAGTGCAGCTAAAATTAGAAGAAAAGCAGTAAACTGACAGCAAGTTTTTTTGATAAAGGTCTAATTTTTGAGATATATGAGGAACTGAGTCAAATTACCAGAAAAAGATCTGTTTCCCAGTTGACAAATGGTCAAAGAACATCAGTAGGCACATTGCAGAGGTAGAAATCCAAACTCTCAACAGTCATGTGAAAGAAAAAATGCTTTAAATCACTAATAATTAGAGAAATGCAAATTAAAACAACTCTGTGGTACCACCCTCATGCCCATTAAGTTTTCAAGGCTGACAAAAAAGGAAAATGATAAGCAATGGCAGAAGTATGAGAGAATAGGTAGACTAATGGTAGAGCTCTTAACTAGTCATCCATTCTGGAAAAACTATTTGGGACTATGTCATATCATTTCACCCAGCAATTGCGCTACTACGTCTATATCCCAAAGAGATCAAAGAAAGGGGAAAGAACACATATGTTTAAAAAAAAAGTCATAGAACTCTTTTTGTGTTGGCAAAAAATTGGAAATTGAGGGGAAGTCCACCAATAGGGAATGACTGAACAAATTATGGTTTATAAATGTGATAGAATACTGTTGTACTGTAAAAAAGTATGAAGGAGATGGTTTTAGGAAAATGTGAGAAAACTTGTATAACTGATGCAAGGTGAAGTGAGCCGAACCAAGAGAACAATTTAGGTAATAGCCTTTAATATTATAAGGTTAATCAACTTTGAAAGATAATAGTAACTGATGAATACAATGACCAGCCACAAGGACTCATGATGAAAAATGCTACCCACCTCCAGACAGAGAGGTTATTGTCTCAGAGAACAGATTAAAGCAGATTTCCTTCTCTTCCTTTTTTTTTTTCTTTTTTTGCTTTTGAATATGGCTATTGTGGACATTTATTTTGTATGACTATACTCATTTGTAACAGATTTTGTTTTTCTTACCTTCTCAATGAGTAGGGGAGAAGAAGGGAGGAAGTAATGAATTTGGAAATGAAAATAAAATAAAATTTAAATAAATAAGTTAAAATTATTTTAAAAAATAATGTAAATCCATTGTGGCTGGTGCAGCCAATCTGTGATTCAAATCAATTCAGCAATCCTATAATGTAGAGCAAGACATTGTGTTAGACACTAGGGATACAAAAATGAAAAGAGGCTCTCTCTGCTTTTGATGTAAGTAGATCTTAGATTTTACTGGAAATGAAGAGGTGCACATAGTAAAACTAAGAGGATTGGGAAAGGCTTTATGGAAGCTGGCATATAGGCTGAGGCTTGAAAATAATAATACTGAGAACATTTATATAGCGCTTACTATGTGCCATGCACTGTGCTAAGTGCTTTACAGTTATCTCATTTGATCTTCACAACCACTTTGGGAGATAAGTGCTACTATGATCCCAATTTTATAGATGAGGAAACTGAAACACCAGGGGTTAAATGACTTGCCCAGGATTGCATAACTAGTAAGTATCTGAGGCTGGATTTGAACTCAGGTTTTCCTAACTCCGGCCTTGGGCTTATCCACTGTACCATCTAACTGTCTGCCTACCCTCCCTCCACCCCACACATAAGGATTCCAAGAGACCAAATTGAGAAGGGAAGTGTATTTAAAGTATGGAGAATAGAAGTGAGAAATGGAATGCTGGTTTAGGGAAACCCCGAATGGGTTTGGTTGGCTAGAATATAAGGTGTGAAATGAAGGGGGTGTAATGTGAAATAAGTCATGAAAGGGCTTTGAGTGCCTGGTTGAGTATACATTTGATCCTAGAAACAATATGAAACTTCTAGCAATTTTTGAACCAAGGAATTACATGCTAAACCTATGCTTTATAAAGGAGGATCAGAGAATTCGATGGGACCTCAAAGGAAGGTACCTAATCTAGTTACTTTATTTTTCAGTTGAGGAAATTGAGGCTCAGAAAGCTTAAGTGACTTGCTCAGGGTCACACAGATAGTGCACATCAGAAGTGGAATTTGAACCCTAGTCTCCTGATTCCAGAGATGATATTCTTTCCATTCCACCATTTTGTCAGCTATGAGAAGAATGGCATGGAGAAGAGAGACACTGGAAATGGGAAAAGTGTAGGGGAAAAATCAGGGGGATATTGCATTAGTTCCAGTGAGATGATAATCTCATATCTAAATTAGTTGGTTATTCCTCGGTTATTGGTTATATGAGGGCACAGGAGGTCAATGTGAAAGAGATAGGGAGGCAAAAGTTACAAGACTAGGCAACTAATTTGGATATGGGAAATTAGGGAGTGGGGATGAGTTGAGGATAATTCTGAGATTAAGAAGCATTAACTAATGCTGGTTAGTAGTCCCCTAAACGGAAGTAGGAAAATTTGGAGGAGGGGATAAGTTTAGCAGGGGAAGATTAGTTCCATTTGGAACATGTTGATGCCTATGGGAATCCAGATGGAGATCTCAGCAGGCACTTGGTGGCACCAGACTAGTTCAGAAGAAAGAGTTAATATAAATTTGCAAGTCATTTTCCTAAAGATGATCATTGAACCTATTAGAGCTGATGAGGTTACTGAAGAATTGTAGAGAATTGTAGGAAAAAAAGGACAGCTCAGCCTTGGTGGTTCCATCAGGAGACTGGGCATGAATGATGATCAAGTAGAAGAGACTGAAGGCATGGTTAGAGAATCAGTAGAGAACGCTATTCAAGGGAATAAAGTATGTTGATGAGAAGGGGGTAGTTAATTATTGAACAGCTGCTGGGAAGTCAAAGATGATGAGGACTTAGGGGATGGGAGGAAAACCATAGAACTTAGCTCATGAGAACTTAGCGTGTTCTTGAACCATTTCAGTCAAGTGGTAAGGTTAGAAGCCAAGTTGAGAGGGGTTGAGAAGTGAGAGATAGGAGTTTGGCTATAAAGTATAGATTTTTCCAAATGAGGAAGATGTAGGTAAGTTGGTAGGAAGGTTATCTGTTAAGAGGGAAGAAAGTGAGTGGTGTAGGGGACTTGAGTGCAGAGAAAGTTTACAACAGCCATCGTGGGAGTCACTCATGGTACTTAAGGATTGCTGTGGAGCAATAAGGGACCAGTTGAAATTAGATTAACATTTGTAGTCAACCCATGCAGCACAGTTGTGTGACTTCCCCATTAGTGTTTAGTAGAATGCAAAATAGATGGGGAATATATGGTGGGTGTAACGCAGTGTTTGATGTTAGTAAGCTTTGTGCCTTAGTTGGATGGATGTAACATTCTTCAGCTAAAGGATAAACTTTTTTTTTTAATACAAAAACTGTTTCAGGCTGTTGAGAATCCTACAGCTACAGAGATCCAAGATGTATGCCTGGCAGTTGGACTTAATGTGCACATTGAGGTACAGTGAAATTCCTTAATACTTAATTTTCTCATTTCAGTGATAGATTTCACATTGTCATTTGAAACAAAGTAAGTGCTTTTCTGTTTTGGATCCTAGAAAAATAAAATGTACTCCAGAGAGTGGAATCGTGATTTACAGTATAGGGGCAGAGTACGGGTTCAGCTAAAACAGGAAGATGGCAGCCTGTGCCTTGTACAGTTTCCATCACGTAAGTCAGAGGGTTATTTTTGATGAATACTAGTAAGACTATAGGGTAAAGTTTGAGTGTGTTGTTGCCTTACTGGTCTTATGACTGTATTGTCTATTTTTACTAAGCATTAATGTAATACTTCTTTTTGAAATCATATAAAAAGTTTTACATGATCTGACTCTTTAAAGGGGAGGAATTATACTCAGTAGAGGTTATTTTAAAATAACATTCTTTTTTCCCAGTTACATGTAAAAAAATTTTACCATTCTTTTTTTTTCTTTTTAATTTTGAATTCCAAATTCTCACTGTCCCTCCCTCCCCTCCCCTTTCCCTGAGATGGTATGCAGTTTGATGTGGGTTATACATGTGCAATCATGTAAATCATTTCCATATTAGTCATATTTGGAAGAAAACTTAGAGAAAGAGAAATATGTTTTGGTCTGTATTCAGACTCCATGAGTTCTTTCTCTGAGTCCTTTGGAATGTCTTGGATCATTGTGTAACTGATAGTTAAGTCATTCAGAGTTGATCATCGTACAATATTGCTATTACTATGTACAACTCCTGGGTCTGCTCATTTCGTTTTGTATCAGTTCATATAAGTCTTTTCACGTTTTTCTGAGAGCATCCTGCTTGTCATTTCTCATAGCATAATAGTATTACAATCACAATCATATACCACAACTTGTTCAGCTATTCCCCAGTTGATAGATATTCCCTCCATAGCTAATTCTTAGCCACCACAAAAAGAGCTGCTATAAATATTTTGGTACAGATAGGTCCTTCTTCCTTCCCCCCACCCTTTTTAAAAAAATCTGTTTGGAATATGCCTAGTAGTGGTTTTGCTGGGTCAAAGAGTTTTGTAGGCTTTTAGTTATAGTTCCAAATTATTCCAGAATGGTTGGATCACTTCACAACTCCACCAACAGTGCATTAATGTCCCAATTTTCCTATTCCCTCCAACATTTATCATTTTCCTTTTCTGTCATATTAGCCAATCTGATAAGTGTGAGGTTATAACCATTAAATATTAAAGAGAGTGAGAGATGGTGCTTACATTTTTCTTAAAACTGGCTTTAGGGTTTTATTTTTTTGGTCCAAATGTGTGATTTTGTTATTGGTGGGTAGGGAACTCCTGATGAGGAAATGTCCCCTCTACCAACTCTTCCCACAAATTATGGTTGTAAGTTACTGAGAGATTGTCTTACCTGGGATGACACAGCTAGTAAATTCTATAGACAGGACTTGAATCCAGGTTATCCTAACTTTAAGAGCAACTCAGTTTAGGAGTAAAGCACAGATTGACAGCCAGACAAATGGATGATTGGGTATTCCAGAGTTAGCTATAGGTAATAACCAGTGATTTCTGTAATTTACAAGTCTTGAAAAATCACATTTACCCATTATAGGGCACTTGCATAATAGGTCTCCAGTATAACATTCTCTCCCAGATTCTGTTTGTGACTCATGATAATGGGGCATAAATTCAATAATCCTTTAGTCTTACAAAGCTGAAATTTAAGTATACAAACTTATTTCAGAGCTCTTTGTCATTTTAATGTCACTTTGGACCTATTATAGACTCAGTACTTATGTATCTCTAGTAGATGATCCATTTATGCCAGACTTTACCATCTATGATTCATTTAATTTTTTTTTAGCGCAGACTATTTTATTGATTTGATGGGTTGGTGATTTTATAACTTAGGAGTTACTTGATTGCATCCTTCACTCACAAACACGAGCTAAATCTAACTTCTGGTTTCTAGGTAAATCAGTAATGTTGTATGCAGCTGAAATGATACCCAAACTAAAAACAAGGACACAAAAAACAGGAGGTGGTGACCAAAGTCTTCAGCAAGGAGAGGGAGGTAAAAAAGGAAAAGGGAAGAAGAAGAAGTGATCTGGTGATACCTGATTGCTGAATATATGCCAGTCCTACAAGAGATAAGAATGAACATTGATGATTTGCTCCAGAAGTGAATGATGAAAACGGAAACTGAAGAAGTTGTATGATTTGTTACCTTTACTTAACTGGAATATGTATGTTTGTGCCTCTCAACTTCAGCAGAACAGTCAACCAACTTGAGTTCATGAAATAAAAAATTGGCATGGGAAAGTTGCATCTAGCCTTTATATAGCACAAAGCCAGCAGAAGTCCTCTGCAGTCCAGCACTGAATTGTTGGAGGAATATGTATGTATCTTTATAAAAGTCATTACTCAGTGGACTATACAACTTTTAAGTCATTTGCTCTCCTGTTTGTCACACTATAAGTGTCTTAGATTAGAAGACAAGTTACACATTCTGAATATATTCTGTTTGAATTAAACAGATTCATCCATCTTTAATTTATAGTCTGCTCAACTTTTGTTAAGTTCATGAAATAAAGGATTTGAAATGATTTTTAAACTTTCTGTTATGAAGGAATTATTTGAATTCTGTAGAGATTAGTTTAGTAAAAGAAAATGGACAGTGACAGAACAGCCAGAGTGAAAGTCAAAGTGAATACAAGATGGTTACATAAAACAGCTTTAGGGTTTACATAGATAGCTTTCTCTTGTCCTGCTGCTACAATAGAACCCACTTATACTGTATTATGTTCTAGTTCGACGATACACAGGAAAAATATAAACTTTGTGTTGATTGATTACACCAATTCATTAAGGTTTTGATGCCACTTGTGTTTTACTCTTTTGAGTTAGATTATTTCAAGTGACTAGGTAGTTGATATTTCAGTATTAACTAGTCCAGCTTCGTTTTACTAATGAAACTGAGAGCCAAAGAATTTAACTGTGTGTTTAGGAAGGGACCAAGGAGTAGCAGAGATGGGTTCTGAAACCAGGTCCTCTGATGGCAGCTACAGTATTCTTTTCATAATGCTATGTTGCCTGCGCCTCTGAAGTAACAGTAAATCAGAATGTCTTACAAATTCCACTTGAAGAGAATTTACTCTGAAGTTCATAGAGACCAAAGTTACAGAACTTGATGCTTCCCCTTGTAATAATATAGAAATTGCTTCAGCAAGTTAAATGGATGCATCAAGTTAGCCACCTTTACACCTCCTGTAATGCGCTAAGAGACCAACTGTGATTCTTTTCTTGCTTTGTTTTGGTAGAGGGATAACGTGGGGCCTAAGAGGCAAAAAGTTTGAGAACCATTGCTATAAATGTTTATAATTCATTCTTCTTATGTAGTATTTTTAAAAAATCAACCACTGTATAAGATTATGTAGTCATAGTAGTTTAAAATGTCAGAACTGATCAAGCAGGGTCTCCTTCTGACTTAACACAGTTTGGTTTGGGGAATGTAGTGCAAGTGTCACAAATCCAAAACTCATTTTTTGTTTTGTTTTTTGGTGAAAGTTTCTAGCACTGAAGTTGAAAAACCTTATCCATCCACAGCAGTGAAGTATCTAGAATTTGTGTCCTCCTGTTCCTCCCTAATCAAAAATTTCAGCATTCTCTTGTCTTTGTTGGGTGCAAAATAAATGTCTATTGCTCCTGCCCAGAAGAGAAAGAAAAAAGATGGTTCTCATGTTCTCACTTACTTGCTTTCCATTTCTTTTACCATGACCTACTTAGCAGATCAAAGAATTATTCTCATTAAAATTCTTTGTGGGTTTTCTGTATTCAGATGCTGATTTAACCCAATAGAGGCAGAATGGTACAGTAGAGAAATAACAGGATTGTGGTCTGAACACCTGGGTTCAAATCCTTGATCTTCTTACTACATGAACACGCCTCTTACCTCTCAGGGCCTCAGTTTTCTCATTTATAAGAAATGGATTCTAAGTTTCCTTCCTATTCTAAGTATATGATCTTAGATTTTTTTTCTCTAAAAATTATTATGATACGCAGAAAATGCAGTTGAAGCACAGGGGCTTAGCTAAAGTTACTTTCTATGAAGACAGTGTTTTATATAGGAATCCTTTAAATACCCTTGATTAAATTAACAAGTTTTCTGATATAAATCATTGTTAACTTTTTGTGCTCCGTAACTATTTCAGACAGCCTGTGTTTGTTCCCTTCTAGTAATCACCAAGCTGAGAATGCTATAGATTAGGCTCTAACCATATTTAATGCATTGATCAAGTGACTTTTAGAAAAGTAAATGAAGTTTAGTAAGGGTCAGTTTTTGAGCACACGTAGAGCCAAGTAGAGTTGTTGAGTACTGAATACTTTCTCATTTCAAAGAACTTAGGCCATAAGTAGTGGTAAATATGCAAGAGACAAAAGTTCCCGTAATTGACTTTATGGTAGTTTGGTTATCTACTTCTATATGATATGATCCTAAAGGCCGTGAGTTCAACTTCTTGGTTGTGTGCTTTTGTGGCACTTCTTGGTGATTGACTAGTAAAGTATTAAGTGATGACATTAACTGCAATGTTTAGGAAACCAGGAGGAGAGAGCAGAAGATCTGACTGATTGAATTTTACAGCTATTTCAAGATGAACCAGAAAAACCTTTCTTTTCAGTTGTTTTAGAACAACTTTCTAAATTGTATTATGTTTTTCTGCCTTAACACAGTTATACTACCTTATGCAATTCAAAGTCACTTTTCTGAATATCAGTGATCATTGTACTATAGAGTTAAATCTAGAAGGTGGCAGATAGCAAATTTCTACCAAAATTTTAAAATTAAATATCTGATAAGAGCTTGTCTTATCATCCCAGGCTTTATTCCACACTCCTTTCCTCCCCCCAAAGTGAATTGATTCCAATTAATTAAAGATTTTGGTTAGATAGGTTAAGGGTTATTTGAGGATTTTCTGTATTTTCTCTAATCAATAATATTAGATCCTAATATATATTGAAACTGAATTGAAACTGATCAGAGTGGATGTTTCTTTGGTGATAAATGACCTTTCAATATTATGGTAGTTTGCTAAATGTCTTTCAGTTTTAAATAAAGCAAATCAATTAGTTTAAAATGCATAGAAACTGTGAATGTGGTAGATGTGTTATTCAGTTTTCCTGAACTTTTTTTTTTCAACAAGGGATGACTCTCTGAACAGAGGGATATATTTAGAAATGAAGGTAATATGAAAAACAAAAGATGTCAATAAAAATGTTTTAAAAAATTGTGATTGTGTCTTGTACCTGTGTTTGTCTGTGTCTGTAGATTGTGTTTGTCATTAAGGATCAAATATTTGACTCAAAAAATCTGAAATTATTCAGGATTAGTTCTTTGTGTCAAAAACATGCAAATGCAGTGGCACTTCCTAGGAAAAAGCTATCTAAAGACCAACCTATATAAAAATCACAAAATTCAGTTGTGTCCCTAATAATAACCGAGGCTTTCCTTTCTATTTATGTCATTTGAGCAGAGTCCAAATATACAGAAACATGTATACGTATATATGTGCACATTTCTATACATATGCTAATGTGTGTTTTTTATTTATTTTCTTAGAGGTAGCTGTGGCAAAGTTTTTAGAGAGCTGGCCAGTCAGAAAGACCTGGGTTTAAAGTCCTACATCTGTGATCTATGAATACAATCCTGGAGCTCTAACGTTTGAGTGCTCCAGACTGCTCTTAGGACACCATGGCAGTGCCCATCTGGAGCAATGGATACAATTTTCTCACCAGGAGAGGCAAGTGTTTGCTGACTAAAGTGCTTTCTAGGTTCTTATGATTATCTACTAGCATTAAGCACCTACTTGGTGCCAGGCACTGTGTTAAGTTCTAGGGATATAAAGAAGCAAAAGATAGTTTCTCATGGCAGTTGATTTATATCAATAAAACTTCTGTAGGTAATTATAACCTTTTGTCCTTTTAAACATTTTCCATTTTCAGTAACCTGAATAGGTCACAGTTTAATTACATGCCATACATTTTCCTCATTTTTATTCTAACTGGATTGTAACCTCTGCTCTAACTGTACCCAGACAACTAAGGAGTAACATCAGTAAGGAATAGTTTCCCATCAGTTAAAATGTAATCAATTTCTTTTTTTTGGTGATGTTGTGTTCTTTATGTCCCACATCTATTTCTTGAAGAAAAGTATTCATAAAACATAAGAGCAACGAGAGCCTACATCAATTTATAATATAAACTCATTTGTAAAATCTTAGAAGATGATAATGGAAGTTGATGAGCTGACAGCTTCATTAGAGGATAAAATCAGCTTAAAGAATGGTAAGAGATCCAACTAAGTCAAGTCATTTAAAGGGATATTTCGGGATGAAAATGCAAGAACTTCAGAATAAAAATGGAAAAGAACATAAAAGTTTTTTAGCAAACTTTGTTTACCATCAAGGAAAGGCAGTAGTGCTACCACACTTGGACTCTAACATTACAGTCCTGAATATGCTAATAAAAGAGGTACACATAACAGTAAAGAAGACAAGAATGGGAAAAGTAGTAGATAGACCAAGTGTCCATAAATAGGAGCTCCCTGCTGGAGGCAACACAGGACAAATGCTGAGGGATAGATTCATAAAGGATCTGAAGGAGAAGATAAAGGCATTTAAAAACCTTTATGGGTAGACAGAGCTAATATAATAAAAGTGACAATTCTACCTAATTTTGCTTATTCAGTGCCATACCAAGCTACCAAAAAATTATTTTGTAGAGCTAGAAAAAATAACAGTTCATCTGGAAAAACAAAAGGTCAAGAAAGGGGAATTAATGAAAAAAAAATGCAAAGGAAGGTGATCTGGCTATACCAGATTTAAAACTATATTATAAAGCAGCAATCATCAAAACTATTTGGTACTAGCTAAGAAATAGAGTGGTGGATCGGTGGAATAGGTGAGGGAAAGAAGACATAGTAGTAAATAGCTAGTAATCTACTGTTTAATAAACTCCAAAACCCCAGCTTTTGGGATAGGAACTCACTTTGACAAAAACCACTGGGAAAACTCGAAAGTAGTATGGCAAAAACTAGGCATAGACCAATATCTCATACCTTATACCAAGATAAGGTCGAAATGGGTATGTGATTTAAACACAAAAGGGTGATGCCATAAGCGAATTAGGAGAGCAAGGAATAGTTTACCTGTCAGATCTACGGACAAGAGAAGAATTTATGACTAAACAAAATAGAACATTATAAAATATAAAATGGATAATTTTGATTACATTAAATTAAAAAGGTTTTGCACAAACAAAACCGATGCAATGAAGATTAGAAGGAAAGCAGAAAGCTGGTAAACTTTTTACAGCCAGTGTTTCTGATGAAGGCTTCATTTCTAAAGTATATAGAGAATTGAATCAAATTTTTAAGAATACAAGTCATTCCCCAGTTGATAGTCAAAGGATATGAACAGGCAATTTTCAGAGGAAGAAATTAAAGCTATCTATAATCATATGAAAAAATGCTCTGAATCACTACTGATTAGAGAAATGCAAATTAAAATAACTCTAAGGTACCTCACACCTCTCACATTGGTTAATCTGACAGAAAGT